GTTCTATTTTTGTGTCTTCCTTTTTGTCTTCTTTTTTGTTTTAATTTTTCTTTCTTTGTGTCTATATTTTTTTCCATCTGTGTCTACCTTTATGTCTTATTTAGTGTATAAGACTTCCTTTGTGTCTGCCTTTTTGTTGGCCTTTTTTGTTGCCTTTTGTCATCTTTTATGTTTTATGTTCTTCAGTTGTTTTCTCTTTTGTGGATCTTTTTTTTTTCTACTACTATTTTTCTTTTGTCTACTTTTTTTATTTCTTTTATTATTACCTCTTTTATCATTTTATGTCCACCTTATTTCGACTATAAAGTGTATACTTTTTTGTCTATCTTTTTGTTAACTCTTATCGATTATTAGTTGTGTCTTCCTTTGTGTATATCTTTATGTCTGTCTCTTTGTATAACGTTTTTGTACAGCTTGGGTTTACCTTTGCTTCTATTTTGTTTTCTACTTTTTTGTTTGCCTTTTCGTCTACTTGTGGTATATCTTTATGAATTTTTTGTTTATCTTTATGTTCTACCTTAGAGTTTTCTTTTGTGTCAACCTATGTCTTTCTCTTCATATCTATCTTTTTCCTCACGTTTGTGTCTACTTTTTTGTTTACCTTAGTGTGTTCGATTTTTCGTCTATTTTTCTGTTAGCCTTTAAGAATTTTCTTTTGCCTACATTTGTGTTTACCTTTGTGTTTACTTTTTTGTCTACTTTGTGCTTACCTTTTTTATTTGTCTACGTTTTTAATTACGTTTGTGTTTTTCCGTTTTTTTTTGTGTGTGTCTAACTTTGTGTCTTTCTTTGTGTTTATTTTCTCTTTGAACTTTGTGTCTACATATATGTCTGTCTTTGTGTCTATTTTTAAAACTACTTTTGTGTCTATCTTTGTGTTACCTTAAAGTCTAACTTTGTGTCAACTCTTTTTGCTGGCCTTTTGTGTGTTTGTGTATATTTTTGTCTTTATTTTTGTATTCTTTTGAAACCTGTGTATCTTTTTTTAATGTTTTTGTATGTACTTTTTGTCTTCCTTTAAAATAATATTTTAGTCTACCATTTTGGCCACTGAAGTGATTTTTTGTGCACTTTTTTGTCTTTAAGTCTATCTAATAGTGTCTTTCTTCGTGTCTACTTTTTTGGGTCTTCTCTATCATTTTAAGTCTACTTTTGTGTCTACTTCTTTTTGTCTACATTTTTGTCTTTCTTGTTGTATTCTTTTTCTATGCCTTTGTGTTCACCTTTTTTCATGTTTTTGTCTACGTTTTAGTCTTCAATCTTTTTCTAAGTTCAATCTTTTTGACTGTTTTGTGTGTTTTCTTGTGTCTACCTTTTTGTCTATCTTTTCTCTACTTTCATGTCTATCTTTTCGTCTACATTTTTTTTATTCTTTTTGTATTCTTTTTTCTTTCTCTCCATCTACCCCATTCTTTATTTTAGGTCAATCTTTTTTGCTATGATTCTATTTACCTTATGTGTCTACTGTATTCTTTTTCACTTTCGTATCCAGCTTTTTCTTGTTTTTGTCTACCTTTCGGTCTGCGTTTTTGTTTATTCGTATTTTTCAAATGAAAACCATGTGTATCAATATTCGGTCTTAATAATTTATTATTTCTATTTTGAATAGTATTTCATTGTGTCTAGAATTATTCATTAACCCAGATCATATCTATAGTAACTAGTTAGCATCTCTCAGATGTTACATGGACCTAAATTTTAAGCATGTGTGAGCTTAGCATGATTATCGGGCTATTGAATCTCAACGATTTGTCAATTTCCTGATTTCAAAAGAGCTCCTTTTTTAACCTTGTACAAGTAAAAATCAACGGGACAAAACAAAAATTAATTATATTTATTGATAATCCAATCATTTATTCAAAGACTGAAAATGTGGCCCTGTGGGATTCATCAGTGCTCAGTTATGTATGCATGATAAAGCATGAAGGCACTTAAAAGTTACGACTGACGCAACACATATAAAGCAAACAGACACTACAACAGCAAAGGCAATGGAAGAGCAACGAGGAAATCTAATCATACTGAAATAGCAAAAACTTGTGTATAAATCGATTATGAGAAAGAAGTTTGAAAGACCACATTAAGGACGCAAACACTTCAACGTTAGTTTGATCTTGAGGAAGACTTAGATGGTGACTCGAATGAATTCTCAACGACGGAAGGTTATAAACCAAAAAAGCAGAGTAACAACAGCGTTTACCAAAACTGCGTAAGACTGCAGTGGATATACTGCAACATTTATAAGAATTTAATAAGATGGCGATTTATACTAAAGCTTTGACATCGAGTCATCTTCTGACTCTGAAGATGACTACCGCTAAGGTTGTCGAAACGTCAGTCAACAACAACAAAAACAGTCCTTCTCAGGAGTATACCAACCTGGACGATCTACATTTAAAAACATGTAACAACTCTTTTTGGCATATTTCCCCATTTTTTAACGTATGAGCGATGGAAAATTCGCTTGGAAACCCGAGAAGGTGCGATCGATACACCTGCATCCACAACTGTACCATTAGGCACCCAGCAATTTTTAACTAGATAAATACGAAACAAAGACAAGTAGACAACGAGAGCATGTTGAACCTGGGAAGGTGACATTGACAGCGAAGCGTTGAATCATTTCGGCGAATGGAAAAGACTAAATACTTCACAATGGAAAACTTATTTGAACCATTACTCTTTGCTCTGACTTAGGAAATTCACAAAACCTTTAAAATGAAACAAATAATTTAGCCTGATTTGAAAATTACGACTAAAATGACTTATGACGCTTAAGAAAGGTTGTAAGTTTTGCGCTTAAACTTTTTACTCTTTTCAACAACTCAAAATCATTTCACTCCTCGCTGAATCTCGGTTACTGGGCTCAAGTAAGCAGCCCCTAAAACTAGGGGTCCATAATACGATGTAATATATTGTTTCGTAATTCATGTTGTAATTTACTGCGCAGAAGTCCAATAAAGAATGCACAATGTCAGGTATTGCTGCATAAAAATATTTAAACTCAACATTCAACGTATCTCTTTTCTGGCATGTTTTGGAAAAATCCAAATTTTCAACACATCAATCCACTCTTCACGTCTCTAATTTGTTTACATTTTGTGTTGATTTGTGATAGTCGAGTCAACAACCAGAAAATATTCAATAGAATTCGATAAAGGTGCGAGTAGATTTTTCACAACATGTGAGTGTTTTTTTCCGTGTCCTCTAAAATTCTGTTATGCCTTACAAAAGGCGAGCGAAATAATTACATCTTCCCAATATGGTGTTACATCACCGATGTTAAATTACCATCATAGTGCTTTAATTACATTATTAACTTATAATAACAATTCATAATCACAATTTCATCAAACCTACAAAAAAAGCAAACTATTATTAAAATTTCTTTTTCCAAAAGCATACAGTGAAGATGTAAACAATTCGTAAGTTATTCATCCCCATACGTCTTGTTATCATACCCTTCCCTCACCTCACCCAAAATGTTTAATCGGAACCTAGAAGAAATGCCTTATTGTAATTTCAGGCTCATTACCAGACCTCTTTTAAAGTAAGCAATGCCTCTCTCCTGAGATGCATCAAATAATTATTGGATGACATTGAGTTATTTATCATGCGAAAGCCGAATTCAATAATTGATTTGTCATTCATCTCAACTGAAATAGAAAGAAGGCAGTTGGATGTAAAACATTGTCACAACATCAGTTAATTTGTCTTTTTGGGACGGTCTCTTGAATTTATTCTCGCTTAAATATGTTGTAAATATATTTGAAGCGAGCTTCATCGCTTTTTAATGTTACCGCATTCTTTTCCCTTAAAAGCTTTTGCACATCATTTTTATTTATGATGGCAATAATCGTTGCCACTATTTAACTTTTGATTCAAAACTGGCATTTGCCGGTGTAAACAATTGTGGAAACTATTACTTGTAAATGGGACGTTAGAATTACGGAATATCAGGAATTATTTCAAATGTAGTACCCACCCTGTTCGTCATTCTCAACCCATGACCCTTAAACCCCCGAGAATTACTCATGTGTGATAGCTAGATTGTGACGGTGATTGTTCAAGGACATTGTCAGTTTTGGTTGACTTGTTAGTAGGTGATGTATTTTCTGGACTTTTTGTATTTATAGCACTAGTATGTGATTGTCTCCGTTGATGAATTTTCCCATCGTTGATATTATTTTGACCTTAAACTACGCTAGGAGGTCGTGAACTTGTAAAAATACATATAAACGACCTCCGCTTTGAAGCTTTTGCCACTTTCGTTGAATTATAGTCAATGTTGGGTTTTCCATCCTTAGAGGAACCCGGAATATCGTTATTTTGCACTATTTTTTTAGCCGAATCATTTTGCGGCGCTTTGTCGACAAATTTTGTTCCTCTTGAACCGAAAAGTCTTTTTTTAAGCGAAGGTCGTCTTTCGAAGTTTTGATCATCTCCAGAATTCACCTCGTCCAATGGATTGGATTTCGTTTTCCTCATCAACTATTTTGCTTCATCTGTTGACTTTTTTCGAAAAGAAATTGACTTAGCTGGGGCACTTGTAGCATAATAGTTAAACCGCTCGCTAGGTAGTCGGTACTGCCTCGTCTCAAGCTCGAGACCCTCCGTATAAATCGACGTTTGTCCATAAGAGGGCTGGTGTATTGAGTGTATGGAGAAGAAATGGTTGACATTGTTATCGTTGGACTAAAGTTTGACGAGTCATCAAACAATGATGATCACGGCGTGGGAGCTTGTTCTCCAGGTTGACTACCAACACTGATACCTGTTGTAGCTTCGGATAGACAATTCTTTAGAGAATAGGACGATCAATGTGTATAAGTTTTGTATAAGATTCATTTGCAATCAACTTTAGTGACAAAATAATAAGATAATCAGTGTCTCCAATCTTCTATCAACTGAATTTCAGGATCAACTATTGAATATGATGATATTTTAAAACACAGTTCTAGTTTCTTTCATATCTTAATATTATAGACAATAACGTCAAGTTGTTGTGATGTACTAAGGTATAGTAACAAGATAATCATTGTCTTCAATGTTTCACGAACTAAACTACAAGAACAATTGTGAATTATGATGATACTTTAAAACAGAGTTTTAGTTTCTTCCATATCTTCATATCATAGATAAAAACATCACGTTGTTTTGATGTACTCAGTTATAATAAGAAAATAATTATTGTCATTGTGTCTAAAAAAAAGCAATTCAACTTCAAACAGGTGATGTGCAAAAATAAATTAATGAAACACAGTGGTTATAAAATATTATGAAAAAGCAAAGTTCTAGTTTTGAAATGTTATGTGTTTGAGGAATATTCTTGTACTGAGGGTCATATAATGGCCGAAACACAATATGATTTTGACAAAGAATTTTCCTTGTTTACAATGCAAATCTAATCTAACATGACCGAAAGTCCATTGTTCTTTACAACAAAGATTGGGATTATCATCATTAAGATAGATGACATTTATGTGTTTCATCGCTAGATTTTTTCTCTCTTGAATAGTTACTGCCGCTTGCTCGGCAGTTGGTACTGCCTCGTCTCATAGTTGACATTCTCCGTATAAGTCGACGTCTCTCCATGTTTTCGTTGTATGTAGAAGAAATGGTTTGCATTGTTATTGTCGGACTAAAATTCGATGAGTCATCGATTATCGATGATCGCGTCGTGAGAACTTGTTCTCCAGGTTGACTACCAACACTGATACCTGTTGTCGCTTCAGCTTCACTGTACCCTAGAGAATGAACGATGTTTATAAGTTTTTATAAGGTTCATATTCAATAGCCTGTAAAATCAGTGTCATAAAATAATATGAAAAACCAAAGTTGTAGTTATGGAACGTTATGTTGTTTGAGGCATATTCTTGTTGTGAGGGTCATGTAATGGCCGCCATAGAACATGATTTTAACCAAGAATTTTCTTTGCTTAGAAAGTAAATCTAATCTAACATGGCAGAAATTCCACTGTTCTTTACAACAAAGATTGGGATTGTCATCATTAAAATAGATGACACGGGTGTATATATAAAGAAAACATTACTTTTGTTTCTGACTGCCTGACACTCTAACAATCTTCTTATTTCTTTCACCCAAGCTCTCTTATTTTCTATGCTTTTAGCCTAAAAATAAAGCTACAGATTTGTCATACAGTAACACATTACGTATATACAAAAGTTAAATTCTGACACAGCTATGCGCACATATAAAAACATGTGGTACAAACAAGATTCAAACTCCCAGCTTTCAAATACCACGATTGTAAATTGAATTTCTGATTCTCGTATATCTTTGGAGTAAAATGGAAACACTAAGCCATCAAAACTGCTGTTGTGATTCGAAAATATTTCGACCAATCGAAATTAAAAAAGATCAGTTCCGACTACTTTCCGGCTCAGAGTTGAATTTCTGATTCTTTGACAATGGCTTTGGAACATTAAGCTCGATTGTTTTTCCTGACTACCAAGTTGGCGGAAACCCCCATAAAAAAATTCACTTGAATTTCATGTTGTAGTTGGAAATAATAATTTTGAAGCAGCCCGCCAAAATTGCCAATTTGACGTCACATGACTGGCATGTAATTTCTAAATTTACAGGAGCAGGTTTATCGTAAAATTTCCACATAATTTCAAGTGTCACTATTGGTGTCTACGCAAGGAATCAAACCAATATGAAATTTCAATATTTAGTCACATTAACTAGATGTAAGACATGCAAGCAATATAAAAATATGTCTACCTCGAAAGTAAACGTATCTCTGGCGTTTTGCCTTCTTCTAAGCCATAATTCAAATCTAAGAACATTTTCGCCAACTGCCTCCCTCAGACCAATGTCAGCCGTCTATATAAATGAGACAATTATTGCATATAAACCTGGTTAAAGTATTTCAGTTCATGGAAGCAAATTTCAAAAGTACAATTTTCATCTTTTTGTACATCGTAGTTAGTGGCTGCCAGCAAATTTCAAAATGGTAATGTTTGCATACTAGAATGCAGATTACAGTGTGATATGACTTATGTTTCGAAACACTTTTGTTCTAAATCTATCCTATATTCAAAAAATTTCCTTTGACTAATTTTGTGAAAAAAAATATCAATATCCAACCCTAACAGGAAAAAAGAAGGAAAAACCTGTCGAGATTATCGCGTTACAAACATACGTTGACGAAGAATTTCAATAGCTAATCATGGTTTGGATGTCCATAGCTAATTTAAAGTCATTTCCACGTAAAAACAAACCTTAAGTGAGCTTTTATAAATAAAAATATCCGCTCCACTTGTTTGTTCCTTTGCTTTACTGAAGATAACCACGTCTTCAAAAAGAAAAACTCGACGAAAGCATTTCCTTCTATCTTGCCACACGGTAAAATCATCCTTAATTTAAAAAATGACAATTTTAGCTCATCAAAAAATCGAAGTTCAAATAATTTCACTCAAACCTACCACAAGTAAGAGTTTTCCTTGTTCCTTTAAGTTGACCTAAAGCAAAATGATGCATTGAGAAGCTAATTCTTATAATAAATATTAAAGCTCAGCAGAGTGCTTTTAAAAGAGCCATTCAATACAAAAATAAAAGAGCCATTCAAAAATAATGTACTACATATGTGCATTATTACATGCATACATTTATACATCATGTACATTATTTTTTTATTGAATGGCTCTTTTAAAAGCACTCTGCTGGACTTTAATATTTATTATAGGAATTTGTTTCTCACCCGGTACATCCCTGGTCAATATCGAGAAGCTATTGAAAATTCGCTCACTCGTGATTTTAGAACGACCTATGGATTGTTGCGCGATTGATGGGTCGCATTTCAACGATCAAGATATCATTATTGCTGGCTTTTTATGGGCTGCACATATGAGCAAGTTGACAGGGATTCAGCGACGCGTTAAATGCATTGAAAGGGGGCAAAACTTCAAGCTTAAAAATTACAACTGTTGTTAAGCTCCACAAGTTATTCCTGTTAAAATTTTTAAATGAAGCAAACCTGGTTGTTTCAATTTCAAATGTTTTGCGTAGTTATTAAATCAGAATATCGTGAAAGTGCCCGAGAAGATTTATCTTATAATAAATAATAAGATAAAGAATAAGAACAGAATCGAGATTCAACGCCTCGCTGAATCCCGGCTAACCGAGCCCATGTGAACAGCCCCTTAGAAGTTGACTACATGAGCCCATGTAACAGGGATTCAGCCAAGCGATAAATGATTTTGGCAAATGGAAACGATTCAATACTTATCATCAGATAAATCTTCTCGAACAATTTCAAGCCTCACTAAATGTTGGCTAGCCGGGAAGCAGCCCCTTGATCTACTTTACTTGGTGTCCACAAAACTAACAGGCTACCCACATGTACGCATCGCGTAATACCTATTTTTGTTTATATCTTTTGAAGACCTGTTTCATTGTATTGTTTTGTTTTATCTTTTTTGTCTTTGTTTTGTTTTACTTCAATATTTTAAAATATAAAACTAGGCGTTGTTATTCTTCGCTTTTAACTTACGTGTTTATCTAACGTCGACTGCAAATTTTAATGTATCTTCTAGCAATAAAGTAAATGGTTTAAACCCGGGAGTATCGTTACATGTTTGTAGATGTAGATCGTCCAAGTTGGTATAGTCCTGAGACGGACTGTTTTTGTTGTTATTGTCTGACGTTTCGACAACCTTAGCGGTAGTCATCTTCAGAGTCAAATGAGGAGTAAACTACAGGTTAGCCGTATTTGTTATCTGGTTCTTACGTCATTGTATTGTGTGTACAGGAAATGGGTATTGTCATTGTGAATAAGTGTGAAGTGTAATGTGTTTAGTTGATCGTTTGTTTGTATTGTGAATAAGTCGTTTATAAGGTGCCGGTAAATACTGTGATCTGTTCATGGGGTTTGTTCCAAGTTGGTACACAAACTTTCTAACGTAGGCCGTTGTCTATAGTCAGTGCTGTAATAGCCTGCGTGTAGTCTCTACAGGGGAGAGAAAATTAGGCGGGAGAATGTAGATACTGCGAATCGGCAGCTAAATGCTTGTGACAGTGACGCAGATTTCCCTGGAAAAGCGGAGAAAGACTCTGATTGGCTTTTGGTAATAACTCATATTTTACACAAAAATTAATATTTTGGCGAGCAAGATGACGTCGATCGATTGTGGGTAGTTTTAATTAAATATCCTTATAGAAATTTTTAATTAAATAACACAAAAATATTGGGTTAGAGTTAGGGTTATGGTTTTTATTTAAGGGATAGTATTGAGAAAAATATGGACCAATCAGAAGCCGGACTAGATTCCTGTGTTTAGCGCCACTACTTGAATTAATTTAACACTGAATTATACGGGAAAATATATGAAATATCTTGTCGTCCTTATGATTATGAAAGTGGATATGAAGAGTCAAGATTTAAGACGGCTGTTGACGACACTTTTTACTGTTCTATTTGCCTTAACGTCGTTAGAGATGCAAGAATGTGTCAGCATAAGGAACATATCTTTTGTCGTTATTGTATCGAAGAACATCTACGAGTTAATGCACAAAGATGTCCTTATGTAAATACAGATAGATAAAATAGGACGTTATGTGGTCAACATACGCAACTGTGGAAAGAAATAATGATTCAAAGAAAGAAATGACGAAATCAAAGCAAGAAATGGAAAATGTTTAACAAAATTTATATACAGTGACCAAAGAAATGAAAGCCATGATGTTTCAATGTTTGAACAAGTTGAAAAAAAACTTGTTCAAACATTGTGTTCACCAATTGAAGAAGAGATGAACTCAGTAAATGGTGGTATTTTGATTGCTGGAGGTTTTCCCCTTTGCTCCTCAAAGGGCATTGAAATTTTTCCATGGAAAGGCAGGAAATGGTTTCAGACTGCGTCAATAGAAAACAAGCACAGAAATACTTCATCGATTATTTATACTGCCAGTCAATAGAGACTTTGGATCTTAAACATTTATCTTTGGCATGGAAGACATTTCCTCGAAAGTTTCCTGATGAATGTTGCGATCATCAAACTGTTGTTGATAAACAACAAATCCTTTACATTGGAGGATTTATTGTTATTAAAGGAATACCTGATCTGATCATTGAAATACAGATTACTGATACAACATCTCATGTTTTAAAAGAGTTGTGTCATATACCCGAACCACGAAAGAACCATTGAGCTCAGGTTGTTAATGAAAAAGTTGTCATTTTTGGAAGAGAAAGAAAAGATTATAATGCTTTATCAAATGTTTTGGAGTTTGATCCAAGGACTTTACATGTAAGGAAACGCCTCCATTACCTTATCCATTGTATGAAATGGGAACAGTTCAATGGAGATATAAAATTGTTCTTCTTGGAGGTTGAAAGAATATGTTGTGTAGTTATAAAAGATGATACAATTGTCCTCATGGGAGGTTGCAATTTTCATGGTAAGATCTTAAATCAGGGGAGTGTTTTAAAATGAGAAGTAGTTCTTCAATAAGTAGTAGTGAGACATATCTTCCATTGATGAATGAAGCACAAAGTAGGGCCATTGCTTAAGTTTTACCTTTTGAACAGAGATATGCATAAAAGCAAGCAAATGTTCTCGAAATAACAAGAGAGTAAACTAGAAAACTCGTTTGTATTAAGTTAAATAATAAATATAAATAATGTAAAAAACAGAAATAAAATCAAACGTACATTACATTCCCGTATAGAGTCCATAGCCAAAAGGTCGTTGCCATGTCGTAGTTGATATTTAACCATTTCCTCAGCATGCTAAAAAATGAAATGTTGAGATTTTATAAATAACGAAGTCAATAAGGTATAAAATAACGAGAACTTTACCCGTAGAAGTTTTGTAGACGAAGAATCAACTTCAATCACCTTGATCATTTCCTAGCACAAAAAGCAAATGATTCGTAAAATAAATAGATAAAAATTCAATATCAAAAGCTCGGTTTATCCATGTCCGTTTTCTTTCATATTTAGGAAACCAGGCATATATAATTTTCCATTCAAGGTGGATATAATCAAACATCAATTATCTTTTTTTACCTGTAAAAACAAAGCGTATTTTCCAATGCGTTGAACAGGTTTAAGGAGGTAGCTGCACAAATCTAGTTTATCATGAAGTTCATCTTGTCGTTTCTTAAAACGGAAGATTGTAATCGTCAGCAATGTGTCAGATAATTAAATAAAAATGCTATGTTGTCAAAGGCTTTTACTTTACAGAACGTGACGTTGAAGAAAGAAGAAGAAGCTGGTAAATAGCGAAACAGCAGCTGACGGCAGAGGGAAGAAGTCGTTTAAAAGGAGCGAGGTAAAAGCTAAAGACAGAGGAAGGCAGCAGCTATAAGGGAGCAAAGGGTGCAGCTGAAGATAAAGTGAAAGAGGTTTGCAGTTAAAAGAGGACTTTTCAGTAACAAAAGGAGCAAGTACGAAGGTATTTTCTTACCCTAAAATGAGCACTACCATGATCATGAAGAAGTTTGTCGGATGTCGGCTTGTTCTTGTTATACAACGCGTACAAAAAGAACTGCCTTTCCTACAGCAAAAATAAATCAAAACGTTTCGTGAAAATTTTCCTTCACTTCAAGATAAAACAATTAATGTTTCCTCACCCATTTCAAAAACGTAGCAGCAACTTGATAAGGTCTTTCTAGACATTGCTCAAGTTCTTGTGAAAAATTTCTGTGTAAAGAAATTAAGCATTAAAACTAGAGATTTTTACCACATGCGCAGTAGCGGATCCAGCATTCGTCAAGAACTTTGAGCTGCTCAGTTTCAAACTAAAAGTACTTTCAGAAAAACACTATTGGTTTTGAAGTTTTAGAGAATATAATTTCACCAATGGATATGGCTCAAAGGTACATAGAAATGTAAATACATGTGCTGCAGTAATTTGTCTTGACCTATCCTATAGATCCCCCATTGAGTGTAATAAGATATGCATAGTAAAAAATTCAATTGAGTGGCTCTATACTGTATATTTTTTGTTTTGTGTTGTGTTAAATGTAATGTACTGGGTGTATAAAAAACTGCAGTTCATTGGACTCAGCTGACATCAAGAATTTCCATGGAGACCTAAACGTAATTGAACACAACTATACATTCCTCTTGCAGCTACACCATTTGCTTGTTATTAGTGCACATTGAAAACTCAATTGCACGCTTTAACTCATCAAAAGCGTTGTAGAATATTCATCAACACGAAAGAAGAGTCAAAGCAGTTGTTGACGATCAATAGCATTTATTTATGCCGCATATCAATCGGGAATTTTCATGTATCATTAACGTACATTCAATAAAATTAAAGGAAAGATCATTAAGATAATGCAGACATTCAAATAAATTTACATGTACTTTTTATGACAGAGAAGTACTGTATTGCAGTTGCCAAAGACTTTACGCGACACACAACATTTCTTGGGACCGGCATCTTTCGTACAAAGTATGTACATGCTTATTTGAAAGTTTGCTTGATCTTAACGTTCCTTGACTTTTTTCCGTTTATTTTACAGAATGCACGCTAATGCTACTTGAATATTGTGAATTGTTATGAGGCATAAGTAAATGTTATTAATTGTCGACTAGTGCTCTCGATTATTCCTTCGCGTTCATGATTATCTACAGCGCTATCGATAGGTCAATAATTAAAGTGTTTAATTGAACGTCCAATGTGCTATAATGATGAGAAAATCATGCATTGCAAATCGCAAGTCCCAAGTGAGACACCCCTGTATGTCACATGCCAAGCGTATGTGTAGTAAACTATGTTCCAGGCCCCTACTAACCGGAGCAGTTAAATCAAAGAAGCTGACCGATACGTACTTTCAGGATTAAACAACAAATACATGTTTGTAAACAAGTTTGAAACAGAAAAATTACCTTTGGTGAAATTCATACAACTTTTCAATATTTCCAAATATTAAATTTTTCTTTCCCCGTAATGACGCCGGCAAATCATCGCTCTCCATTTCCTTCACATAATTCTACATGAAGAAATTTCACGAAATTACTGATAACGTAAACTCTTGATTTATTAGGATCCGAGATTACCTGGATTACATAATTCAAGAAATTGACATAATCTCTTTCGGTAGTGGCCATTTCATCCACAATATGCAACAACTTTCTAGAAAATAACAATGGCCTTGAGCGTTTATGCAAAATAGTTTGATGTTTCGTTTTTATGTGAAGTTCGCAAACTTACTTTTTGGTTGTTTCTGAAAGTTTTTGATAAGTTTGTTCATCATCTTCTCCAGCTGTCTGAAAAGCAAAACCATTTTAATTCATTTGCATCATTCTTGTAAAGTCATTACTTTACGATGCAAAAAAAAACGTTTATAGATCAACAAAAGATGAAAACGTATTGGTAAAAGAAGATCTAATTGAAAGATTGGTTTCATGTAGAGGGAAATATCATTGCAATAATAGTTAAAAAATAGAAAAATGAATGACTTCACTGTTATCTCCATAGAAGTGGCTTCATAAAGTGGTGGCAAAAAATATCAATTGACATCAGTTGAAAATCGCTAACACCACCATACATGCAAGGTCAACACGTCTCCATAAAACATACCTGTACGCATACTGCCGCCCCCTGTAATGTTTCCTGACGTTTTAAAAACTTTTCCTTGACTTCCTTGTATTCCGCAACAGATTTCTCAGCCTGATTTTGAAGATCCTCATTCTTCAATTTACCAGAAAGTTCAATTAAGTTATTTAATCTTTCCTTCGACCACATGGGAAATTCTTGAAGAAATCCTTCCATGCTTTCTTTTAGTGAAGCGACACCTTTAGAGGAGTTTGATGCTTCCATATTCATGAATGCCATGTGTTTCAATGCTTGAATTCTCCATTCAGAACACTGTAATGACGTAAGATGTCTTTAATGGAAATAATACTTAACTATTCCACACAGTAATTGGGAAGATCAAAAGTTCCACTAGTCTCTTCAAAAGAAGTAAACCAACGATAAGAAGGAAGGAAAGTTTATGAAATGTCATCAGTAACCTAGCCAGCCTGCAGACTTACTCCTGCTACGTAAGTTCCTAAAGATTATCATTATTCATTTCTTTAGAAATCTATTGTTCTCACGACAGGTCAACATAAAAATATTTGTAAAGCAATGGTATAAATTCAGGCTGGCTGCGTCACTGTGTATCATGATGATTTACAAGTTATTGTCTCCAATTTCTCGTGTTGAAATTCTTTCCATTCTCTCTTTTGCTTCATCTAAGTGGATTATCCATTGATTGATAAAACACGTAATATGACAGCTCAGACCAATCATTTACACGAACAAGAAACCACGTGGTATAAACAATCAGACCAATAATTTACACGAAAGTGAAACCACGTGATACAAGCACTCAGACAAATCATTTACATTACCTCTCTGATCGTTTTATGAAACTCAATACACGTGACCAAAGCGACACGTCTTTCCTCCAGTGCTGTAGTGAATTGATCCAGTATTGTCTTGAGTACCTTTGACATTTCTTTCTCATCAATGAAATCAATAGTTCCCAACTGAGCTATATCGCTACCATCCTCTAGTGAATTTTGAGCTTGGAGTATATAACTCTAATAAAGAATTGAGCAATGTCAAATATGAGAAATCGTGTACTGACCAAAAATTGTACTGTCTGGATGAAGTATTATATTCAGGGATAAAGACTTCAATTGAGTGAGATAAAATTCTACATTCAGGGATAAAGATGTATAACGTCGGATAAAGTTGTTCGAATTGGGATGAAGATTTCAAATATGTGGGATAAATTATTACCACTCAGTGATAAACATGCATAGTTTGGAACAAAATTGTATAATCAAGCATGAAGATTTATAGTGGTATAAAGTAACACAGTCTGGGATGAACATATATAGTGTCGGCAATAAATTTGTCTAATATGGGACAAAGATGTACTGCGCGATATAAATATATACAGCATGGGATTAATTTTTTGCAGATTTGATTGAAGTAGTATGATTCTGGACAAATATTTTAAGTGCATGAGAAAAGTTATGCATTCTGTGTTTCTTCAACGTTGAGTTCGAAGTTTTAGATTTTCTCTAGATGTAACGGTTTCATTTCAAGGAAAATGTTGACAGAGGAGAGGAGGGAAAGTAAAAAGTTCTACCATTAATGAAATTTAATGTGCTTGTTATGAAAGTGACATACTAAAGTTTTTACTTCGTAATACAATAATACCTTCGCATCAGTCAGGAATTTCTTAAAGTTATCATGGTAACTGAGCGCCTGCTTATATGACTTTGCAATCTCCACAGGTTTTTTCAAGTGAGGCATACCGACATCCTGTAGCCACTTTAATACCTAAAAAAAACATTTAAACCATACATTACAAAAATCGTGTCGAATACCGATAGCCTATAACATCAATAAATTTTACACTATTGACTACACAATCCAGCTATAGGAAAAGGTCAGTGTAGTCACGTGAGCAACCATTCTTTCTTCCCTTATTGAAATTTGAAAATAACAGTTGATAGTAAACGATATCGTGACCAGTGACCTTCACCAAGAAAAAGAGCAAAATAAAGAAATAGAAAATGGTACAAGCAATCGTTTAACGATGCATGGTTAAAAGATCCAGAACTACAAGACTGTATTTCAAAAGACCCCGGAAATAAATTCACACTAAGATGCAAAGTTGTGAACATACATTCAACGGTCCCAACAAGTCGGCTTTGATGAAGCATAAAGCTACAAAAAGGCATAATGATGCATTTAAAGCCTAGAAAAACACTTTGCACGTAAGGAAGTTTTTCAAAAAGCAAACAGGGCCAGATGTTGACGAAATGACAGCTAGAGCCAAAGTTTTGTTGTCTGGTTTTTTACCTTACCACCGAACGACTTTCATTCAGGCGGATCGTTTCAGTGAGTTAATGAAAAAAATTTTTCCAGCCCGCAAAATTGCGCAGAATACGCAGTTAAAAAAAACAAAGGCATCATATGTTGTTCAAGAGGGAATTGCGCGAGAGGAAGTCGAGTCGCTATCAGCAATCTGTCAAAAAATCAAATTTTCTCGGATCGCAGACGAATCAACAGATGTTTCGGTCTCCTAAATTCTTGCTGTTGTTGTCAGATTTTACCATGAAAGGAAAGTGACTGATGCTTTATTGACTGCGCTTATAGTAGAAAATGGCTCTGCTAATGGATTGTATGCGGATGTTAAAAACTTTTTTGAAGAACGAGCAATACCACAAACTAATATTACTGGTTTTGCTAGCGATGTTCGACAATGATGGGTGGAAAAGGTTTCCAAACTCTTTTAAAAAAAGATGTACCAGGTGCATTTGACTTTGGTTGTATTTGTCACTACTTTGTTCTCTGCTCACACCATGCAAGTAGTCGCCTACCTTCTTGATTGGAAGGATTTGTGAAAGACGTCTACTGTTATTTTTCCCGTAGCAGTAAGCGACAACACCAGTTCCGTCTCATACAAGATATTATGAAAGCACCTCATCATAAAGTTCTCAAACTTTCACAGACGAGGTGGCTTTCCCGAGGCCAAGTTGTTGCAAGAATTTTAAAGCAATGGGATGCATTAAAACTTTTTTTGCAATCTGAGTCTCCATGTGATCGTATAGACGGGGCTGTCAAGATCTATGAACCCATGACGACAAATGAAACCAAACATATTCTGGCATTCCTAAAATACATATTGTAAAACGTTGATAGTTTAAATGTTCAATTTCAAGCTCAAGATTTCAAGCTGCACACTCTGTACAGTTTTATGTCAGATGAGTATAGAAGCATTTTAGCCTTGTTCATCAAAGACAATATAGTACGAGAAACACCGTTGGACGAGATTATTCCAAACGACGTAAAGATATACAAGCCTCCCAATGATATTCATCTCGGAGGAAGATGCGAATGCCTGTGCACTCAACTGTCTTTGGGTAACCAAGAACAACGTTTCAGAAGCCATTGTCGTAACTTCTTCGTTGAGTTATGTAACCAAATAAAAAAACACGTTTTCTTTCAAAAGTGATGGAGTTCTAGCTTTGCTATCAGCTGTCAACCCTTCAGAGGCATTGTCCACCAGGTGATCACTAAGCTCGATAGCGGTATTAGCACACCATTTTCAATCTTTAGTGTCTGAAGATCAGTTGGATGAACTTTATGATCAGTGGAGGCAATTGTTATATGCCACAGTTTCTCTTAAAGGCATGGCTAACTCCCCAACTCAGTTTTGGGATGAGATCAGAGTTATTAAAGATGGTAACGGAAATAAAAAGTCTGAACTTTTGGGAAATTTTATGTGTAACCTTCTTCTTTTACCTCACTCATCAGAATTTTTTCCGAAGTTAGCATGATAAATACTCCTCAAACCAAACGCCTGCATTGCTCAACTTTGAGAAACAAACTAATTGCAAAACAAGCTATTGCTCGACAAGGTGCACATTGCTACACATGGGAGCCGTCAACTAAACTTGTAAAAGACGTACAATCTGGTCATTGTCGGAAAGAGTATTTTAATAAACATGGTCAGCGTCAGGAACAGGAAGAAAATGCAACTGATGTTTATGACATTATAAGCGAAGAGATTGTTGAAATAGGGTCTGGTTAGCATGTTTGACAATTTTATGAACTGTTATGCTTCACGAAATTTCCCTGATCATGTAAAAAAATTGTATTAACTATCGTTTTTTATAAGATTTTTGATTTGAAGTAATATCAAATCAAAAATGATGCGTTGATGGCGTACCCATGACAAAGGAACTCCCCGGAAATAAGTGTTTTGCTGTACCTGGGGGATCTTGGCATACTTTAAAGGATCTTGGGAATTTTATCCCCTAAATCTTGGGAATTTCTAAAATAGTCAATGGCAACACTGATCGTGACAAACGTGCCAACTGCCAACATTGGCCAAAAAAGGAAATGCAAAGTTTTTGTTTACTTGTAGAAAGGGTGGAAAAGCCAGAGAGACTATATTGACTAAAAATTTAAATAGAAGTTGGGTTCACATAAGATTAATTGCAAAAATTTAATCTGTGTTTAACCGAAAACAGCGAAACCGGACAATTTGTGATGTGTTTTCAAATGTAGGTTACATCAAAGAGCAAATGCTCAAGTGAGCATGAAACCAACACAAAGTCCTTTTCTTTTTTAAATTTTCTGCCCACTTGTCAGTTAAAGCACTTCATTCGTGTTTTTTGTTATATAATTGTTGATTTTGTGTTATAATTAAACATTGTCGGTGATATTGGGTAACTTGATTGTTAATTTGTTCAATTTTGTGGAAAGTTTACGGCATGGTCTAAGTAAAATCTTCAGAAATATTAATTAAAAAAAAACAAGGCTCAACCATTCAACTGTATCATATGATATTGTCAGTAATCGGAATATTGACAGTTCAGCAGTCTATTCATACAGAACAAAACAAGAAATTCATTTATCCATTTAACGGACTATCGTGCTCTATATAAAACTTTACAAAAAATGATAGAAAGTAAGCAATAAAATCCTCGAGAAATAATACGAATGTAGACAATGCAAATGATCAAAAATATCAAAATTATCATGTGTGTGGAATGGTAGTACGAGAAACTTATACTTAATACGATGAACTGTACTTGAATTTAGTCAAATTCAACACTTTTATTCGCATTGTTTACATTTACCTAGACTTACTTTGTTGTGTGTTGAATGAAAGGCAGAAAGTAAATAACAGCAAATATTATCTTTCAAACTTACATAACGTCAAAATGACAACACAACATCGAACTATAAAAGTAGTAAATAAAATTAACTATTTTCAATCACTTGAAATGTGCGATGTATTCGCTTTCACAGATTAAACATTGTTTGAACAGAATCTCCAGAAATACAGTTTTTTCAAAAGGTTATTAGAAAAAAAATAATAATAAAAAGCACAGCGCATTGACACAAAAAAGTAATACAACTAATTCTAGTGTCGTATTCCTGAACCACGGTATGCCTATGGAGCTGAGGTTGTTGATGATAAAGTTCTTATTTTTGGAAGAAATGGAAAAGATTGGGAAGTTTTCTCTTCAGTTTTGGAGTTTGATCCAAGGGCTCTTACATTTAAGGAAATGCCTCCATTGCCTCATCGATTGTGTGGAATGGCAACACTTCAATGGAGAGATCAAGTTGTTCTTCTTGGAGGTTATGGTGGAAAAGAAAGGTTGAGCAGTGTTATCATGTATGACATCAAAACAGGTAAGATTACAGCCTTACCATCCATGTTGGAAAAGAAAAGATGGTGTTGTGTTGTTATAACTGGTGATACAATTGTTCTTATGGGAGGTGTGAATAATAAAGGTGAAGAACTTAAATCAGTGGAGTGTTTCGAAATGGGAAGTAGTTCTTCATGGACATATCTTCCTTCAATGAATGAACCAAGACGTGAAGCCTTTGCTGAAGTTTTACCTTTTGGACAAGAATATGAATAAGCAAGAAAATGTTCTCCAAAACAATAAATATTTAAAGTTAAATATGAAAACCTTCAATGTTCATATAACCTTTGATTATTATAATAAATTACTGGAGAAATAAATGACTTTATTATTTTATTCATAACTGAGGTTAAAGAAAATTTATAGCATTAGTTTTTGTTCCGAATCTTCTAACTGTAGTGTTTTGGATTTGACCAGTTGTGTTCTCAAGTCTTTGTTTGTTAAAATCAAAATCACTGCAAAGTGTACATAGCATATTTACCAAACAATTTTCAATCTCCCTAACATGAGGAAAAGCGTGATAAAAATACAAGGTTATTGTTGATGAGCAAGCAAAAATTTCCACAGAAATAGCGCGTTTTTTGTATGACAGATAACATGTCGCTCTATTGTTTTGACAACTAGATAGTCCAAGAACGATAATTTCTTTGAGTAAAATAGAGACAAGCCGATGTTTCTTATCAAACTACAAAATCATATAAATAAAAGAATTTTCTTCATTCAAAGCAAAAGTTGCAAATTTAGTTGCAACAATATTTGGAAAACCAGACGATATCAGTACCGCGACAAGGACAAATGATCTACACTCACACTTTTAACATTATTGTCTTTCTTGTGTCTTTTACTATTGATGATGTCTTATATTACGTTCACACGATACCGGTATGAAACTCAACCGGTAGAGTTTTAAACTGTTCACATCATGCCGTTAGAGTGTTGCTCCGTTTTGGTGTCATGTTCACACTACACCGGATTGACGTTGGCTTTCAAGCTATATCAGTAATATTTATATGAAGTCTTCCTATTTTTGCTAACCATATCTACCGCCGTGCTGACTGCATTCGAGTATTTTACCGCGTCATTTATAGCAGAGAAAAGTTTTGCGGAACCGTAACGAAACTCTTACGAGTAGTTGCTCCGACGTAGAGGAAACGGTATAGTTATTTGCACCGTTTTCAAACTATTACGGTTAGTGTTACGGTTCCATACTTTTTCATACCGGCGTCGTGTGAACATAACTCCAAACCGTAAGTGTTTTGAATCGCTCTCAAACTTTACCGGTATCGTGTAAACGGGGTCTTAGCGAGTTTTTTCTCTGGCGGGGATAAACATTATTAAGAATCGGTACGCTCAACTTTCGAGCTTCATGAATATTCGGTCATGGAAACTTTTTCGCAGAAGCCGGTGGGTTTTTTTAGCAATAGCCAGAGTTATTTTAAATGGAGCAGGAGTTAAATATTCTTTAAAAATTTTTATTGTTGTTATGTTAATTTGAATGCAATCAAAAACCATTGAGGCCGACTCGCTGATGAGATGAAAATTACTGAGAATCAGTATGCTTTTTATCGCGTCATTTAACGTTGCTTTTATGTTCATTTGAATACAATCAAACGCCGACTCACTGATGAGATGAAAAAGATTCTTAGAGCAGAGATGAAAAAGATTCTTAAAAGCAACTTAATAGATTTTTAAAAGAGCAAAGTGCAAATTCACTAATATTACTTCAGTTTACTTTATAACAATGGCAAAGATATTGTATATTTTGGTATTAGAACTCCAGTAAACTGGGCAATCATCTTAATAATTTCATACCTTAGCGTATTCCTCTTGAAAGCATTTCAACTGTAGACAATCCTTGAGCTCATGTTTTCGTTTTCTATACAAAACTTCCAGCTTGGAGAACACTTGATTCATTTCTTCATATAATTTCGAGACAATTTCCATGGTATATTTCCAGTCTTGTGTTTTATTTGAGCAATCTGTCTGCTGTATGTCCGCCACAAGTTGTTCACCTTCGACTTGTAACGCAGACAGGCGGCTGTCTGAAAAGATGGCGCTCAATTTTTTATCGTGTTCTTCGAGCAATCTCTGACATTCTTCTACCGTTTCACCAAATTTTCTTATCCCAAGTTCATCTATTGCCGTCAAAGCCAGCTTTGTTGCACTTCGACAACCCGTCATGAAGGTTTCTTGTTTCTAAAAAACACAATATTCAAAACTAAATGTTAGAAAAGCTTCACTCCTTTTTTCAAGGTTATTTGGAGACACTCCCTTCTTCAATGTCAACATTAGTGACGCTCCCCTATTCCAAGTTTATACTAGAGACACTCCCCTATTCGAAACTTATATTACAGACGCAGCTCTTTCCAAGTTTATAAAAGAAACAGTCCCATGTTACAAGTTTTTGTAGAGAGGGTCCCCTCTAACAAGTGTAGTTAAATGAACATAGAATTGTTTTATGAAGCTACAACGATTAAAGAAAAAAACTCGATAGACAAAAATCGATGTCGACCAGTAATCCTATTAAAATAAAGCTTAATTCGATCCTTCGAGAGATTTGACTGCACGTAATCGAGGCAAACTGTTATAGAAACACGCACAAGGAAGGTTCGAGAAAAACCTATCACATGAACTGTGTCATAGCTGGACATCTTATAGTCTAATTTACCAATGAATGTTAAAATCTTCGACAGAGACTAGAAATGCGTCAAAATGTACAAAGTAAGTAACATGTTTCAAAATGTACAAAGTAATTAACACGTGTCAAAATGTACAAAGTAATCAACTCGTGTCAAAATGTACAAAATAATTAACACGTGTCAAATTGTACAAAGTAATTAACAAGTGTCAAAATGTACAAAGTAATTAACACGTGTCAAAATGTACAAAATAATTAATATGTGTCAAAATGTACAAAGTAATTAACACGTGTCAAAATGTACAAAGTAATTAATATGTGTCAAAATGTACAAAGTAATTAATATGTGTCAAAATGTTTAAAGTAATTGACACGTGTCAAAATGTACAAAGTAATTAACACGTGTCAAAATGTACAATGTCATCAACGTGTTTCAAATTTTATAATTTTATCATCAAATGTACAATGTAAAATGTTATACGTAGACATATTAGTCTATAACAAATTGTTTTAGAAATGTGTCAAGATTTTGTGTCAAGGTCAACAATGTTAACGGAACGCATTAAAGTACAAAATAGTACAACGTGATAAAATTCTCACCAATCGAAACTGCAGCCAAGCATCATGGTCGTACTCAAAGCTTCCGCCGAAGGTCGTGGGAATTTGATCCATTGAAATGGAAGATAGCACATCATCAAAAGACGACAGCAATTTGAACTAAAAACAAAAATTTTCATGAACCTTTTCGGAAAAGGGCAACACGAGTCTTTCCACCCACCTACCCCAACATCCCTCAACTCACTTGAAATTTAAGTTTTTCTTTTAGTTTATCAGCACTGAACATCAATAGATGTGAATCCTTCCGTCCCAGGAGGTACGCAATGTGCACGCTACCTGGTTTCATCTCCTATGAGGATACGAAATACAAGCATTAGATTACAAAAGAAATTCAAAGTTGAAAAACGTAGAAAGGAGTGAATTATTCAAATTTAAATAAAACATATATTTGAAACTCGTAGTCCTCTGCTTTGATAATTTAAGTATGTTTCACATTCCTTCTAAAAATCATAAGTATTGACGAAATTTTAGCAAATTCCAATGACTTTCAGAAGTAACGTGAAGCAAAGCTAGACCCACAAACAGACAAAAGTTCGTTTTCTTTTAATATCATTATGGTTCACCAAATAAGATCGCAAAAATGGCGTACCTTGCAACAGTAACAGAACGGTATACATGAGCCAATTTGGCCATTTTCGGTCAAAAAACTGGTCAATGGCCTTTTTGAAATCTGTTTCGCTGAGAAAATAATCATTGCCCAGACAAGGTAAATTTGACCTTCTTTGGTCTTTTCAAATTTTGCTACAGTATTTTCCTATTTTACACGATCAATGGTTAAATTGCTGTGTATTAATTGATAATTACGTAAGCCAACATCCAATATGAAGACAACACGATTGCATACTTTGAGCTAGTACCCAGTTCATTGTTTCGCTTATTTGTAAATTACAGAGTAAATGTACAGTGAAAGTTGCATCATTTTGTCATTTGCCCGTGTTCAATCACATTCTGTCGATTCGTAGTGACCAATTTGACCGTCATAAAAGGCCTGGTAACTAATGTACTCTACGCTCTATGAGGTGTATGAAAAATAAAGACCTTTAGTAATAGACGTGATGATAATATTAATGCCTATCACTTTGCTAACCCGTAGGGGCCGCACGTGGTTAAGTATTATAAGTTACTTGCATATATTACGTATCTTTGTTACTACTACTGAAGCTTTTCTGCTCCTGAGAATTAAACATTAACTTCTAAGAGCAAAATTATGCACTGAAATAAGTACAACGTCAATTTGTAACGGTCGTTTTTTGCTTAACACAACCTTTAATTAAGAAATAGAAAACATTCTCTGTTTCTTTCATTCTTCTGTCTTCTATAACTCAATAGGAACAAGTAAATATGTCTTGTATTTCCTTTATAAAATGGTTTTTTAAAAACAATAGTAAATTTATCGATTTTAATGACGTAATGTTCGTGTCGAGCATTCAACCAATCAGTGCCCGTGTTTTTAAATAGCTATTTTATAATGCAAATTCACTGATGAGGCTTAGTATTTCTCCGAACGTTTCTTGCTTCAAACTTAACGTACCTCGAAAAAAACTAGAGCTTTCCCGATGATCTGCAAAGTCTTTTTGTTATGGTCAGCGTTTCGTGCATCGACAAAAATAGACAAACCTAGTTTGGAAACTTCTTCCCTAAAAGAACGAGAATAGAAATTTTTTCCCAAATGCAAGATAACAAAGAAACGTTGTGAAGGCTAAAAGAGCTAATAAATACGTAATTTTTTTACGTACGTGTAAATATAGAACATATAAACCAATGATTCTATTCTCTTTTTTTCAAATAAATGCCTGCAGATAAATAGACTCCCAAACCACTAAGAAAGCCAAAATGCTTGACAGACTTCCGGTTTAACAAATAACTAATATCCAAGGATAGTGCAAAGTTTTGACTTATAATTTGAATCAAGCCTAAAATGTTTCGTACATTTCTTGTACTTATTTCACCATTGACTCCCATTTGATTATCATTCACGTATCATGAGGTGAACAACCATTGATTTCATGGGAAATAAATATATTGTAAATAGAAGTCATCACAAACTATCGTTTAAATAACCAGTTGTTGTCTTGTTGTTCACAGTTTACACGTAAGCGCTTTTTTGTCCACCGAGTAATATCTATATGGTTGTGTAGTGGCTACTTTTTTCACGCACAGTGGAGAGGGTATGTAGGCGGTCATTGAGGCAACGAGTTTTAAAATGTATTTGTAGAAACAAGCCAAAGAAGACAGAAAACATGCCAATAATACATGACTGAAAACTTGCGCAGTCCATCCGACCAACTGATGAAGTTCATACCGATCAACTGGATACTTAGATATGTGTGTACCACTAATCTCGAAAAAAACTGGATCAAGCAACTCTGTATTTTTAGTAAACAAATTTTGAAGCCACGGTCGCCATTACTAAGGGAACAACACATCGAAAGATTTTTTAACAAAACTATGGAAAACATGGCAACACATGGCCAAATTATGCTTTAAGATAACGCAGAAGATGAAAAACAACCTTTGTGGCGATAGTAAAGCGAGTCAGAAAGAATAATCGGCCGTATAAAACAAAACGCATACAGGTTTCACTCGTAAAAAAGGCTTGTAATTTTAAAGGATTGATCAATTAATGATGGTTAATGAGATTATTTAATGAGTTTGTACTTCTGAACTACGATTCCATCAATTCTAGGTATTTCCATGCAGTTGTGGGCTTTTTTCCATTATTTTTCCACAGTAGAGTTACCGATGAGAAAAATCGCTGCATTTTGATCACATTTCATCGAATTTTTAGCTCTATAAACTGATTTATCTCTTAGTTATGTTCATGTACTTACATGTTAAAAATTATTGATTATTCTCGTATAAATGCACAATATATTTGCCTTTATTTGCGAAAGTTGGTCTCTTAGTAATGGCGGAACTCCTTTTTTTGTCTTTAACTTTTGTGCAGGGTGCTAGATGCTTGATCCAGTCTTATTTCGAGATCATTGGTGTGTACGCGTGTGTCCCACTGATCTGATAATAGACTGGATGTAGCTTCTACAGTATCAAAAGTGAAACCTAATTATATATGCAAAATGTACTTCCGCTTACCCACTAGAGATACAAATTACAATAGAAATGTCTGGCAGATAACGTTTACAAACAAGCATTTTCGAATATTTAAGGCATTTCAGGACCTTTTACTTATCTCAAATATCCGTCATGGCTAAAACAAGTTATTTAAATCAATTTGACATCAAAGCTATTACAATACCTGTAAAATATCGGCGTTCGTTTTCATTTGAAAATTGCTAGTGCAAGAATCGAATTTGCTCAATCTTTGCCAAGGCAAAATAATTCACAGCTCGCTATCCAAGTTTAGAGGCAGTTATGATCTACAATATGTTTCAATGCTTAAAAATTGTGGTAAGTACCTTTATTTTATCATTCTTTATAATCTAGAGATTGTCGTATGTTACTCTTGCCGTGACTTTATGAGTCCGGTACTATTCTACTTCATAATATAAAACAAATTCCGAAGAACCAAGACATCTTGAGATTGCAAATTTGACAATACTTTATTTCAGAACAACATGCAAATACATAATTATTAAGAAAAAAGAAACCCAGAGGTTGGCCCTATATCAAGGGTCTCTTATTTATGTAAAAAATCTTACAGAACTAGTTAATCAAAAATTAAAAAAGTCAAATAAGAAACAGCTAAATATCAGTTATGAAATGACGATCAATATATATTCATGTTTCTTCAATTTTGATTTAAACTCACGAACGTTAGGGCTGTCACAAAAATTAAATAAATTAATAGGAAGATTATTCCAGGGTTTGATAATTGTGAAAAAGAAAGAATTTTTGTAACAGTTCAGTTTTGCGTGTTTGAGTTGTAGTTTATATGGGTTGTTAGATCTCGATTTAGTGTCTTTACAAAGTTCAAAATAGTCGCTGAAATTTAATCTATTTAGATTGAATACAGTTTTATAACATTTCACTAAGGAAAGGAAATCTCTCCTTTGTACTAAAGAGTTCAATTTAAGAATTTTACATCTCTCCGTGTACTCCATCTCTTGTCTTCTTTGGCCTAAGGCAATTCGCAAGGCTTTTCTTTGTATCTTCTCAATTTCATCGATGTGTAAAACGCTCGATTTTACAATCTTCTCCGCCGTTTTACTGATGATAGATGTTAGCGAGACCTGGCGATAGTTTTCCTTTCTATGTTTTCGTCTTTTTATAAATTGGAATAACGTGTGCAATTTTCCAGTCCTTGGGTAGTGAACCGGATTGGAACGACATGTTAAATAAGTTACAAAGTGACGTAGATAGTTCCAGTGCACATTCTTTTAGGATACGAGGCGATAATTTATCTGTACCTGGGGATTTCTGTATGGTTAGGTTTTTCAGATGTTTTTCCACTTCGCTAGGTGTGAATAATACATTGCACAACTTTTCATTGAGAACATGATCAAATTCCGGAAGAGACTTTTGTTCTTGTGTAAATACTGATGCAAAATATGTGTTCATATGTTGTGCAATCTCCTGATCCCCAGTAATTTCTACACTTCCATCTTTTAGGAACAATAGGTCGTTAGTTCCTTTTCTTATTGAACGCATGTAGTTCCAATAAGCTTGGAATTATTCTCTACCTGCAATTTATCTGCGAGTGCCTCAAGATGTCTCCATTTGGCTGAGTTGCATTTCTTTTTGAAAGAATTGTTCAAAGTAAGATAGGCGGCCCAGTGATTTTCATTGTTGGATTTTTTTGCTTTTTTATAAAGGTGTTTCTTTTTCCGGTAGACAGTATAATCGCTACCAATAGCTTCCTCATTTGAAATCGAACAGTCTAAATGCGTCTCAGTTAGAACAACGATATCCGCTTGACTATTAGCCAGTTGCAATTGTAATTTGGTAACTTTGATGACAATGCTCCTGGCGTTTTTGTAGAATACCTTCAACTTCGAAGTGTGATTTTGTCTTCGAGGTCGTGTCGTGGCTTTAAGTGCGTAACCGGGATTTATTTCAACATCACTACTGTGTAGGATCTTGAAAACAGCTGGTTTAAAAGCACAGGAGGCATTTGAATAGTATTTAAAACGCCTCGAGAGGAACTTTGAACGCTGGAGGCTCCTAAATTTTCGAAAGTTACCACGTGTAGTGGCAGCGGTAGCACCAACGTCTACATTTGCACTAAAAAATACTCGTGGCCAAGAAACGATCTTTCCTGATTGTGCACGATGGTAATAATAGTCGAAGAGGCCATTGTGCGGAGGCAAATTGCCCAAAGAGGCCAAGAATATCGCCAAGAAAGCTGTACTCACGAGAGCACAACCTTCTGCCATTATGTATTGAATTTGTTGAAATTTTAATTTTCAAAATATGAATCAAAACAAGACGAAAAGTAAACTGTAAATTTTAAACTTTATTTCAAAGTCATCCTCAGACAGAATGATATTTGAAACCATACATACACATATATATTTACAACGCATGAAATAAGTAAACGGAAGTAAGCAATAGAAATTAAATGGTGTGGTTTTTACAAAGGCAGAGTTGGAAGAGGTTTAGTATTTCAAAAGGATGAATTGAAACTGCCGACCTGACTGGTAGAATAAGTGTGTTATAATTTAAGAAAAGAGTTGTAATTCTTTGCTAGCCTTAAGTCCCGTGTTGAGAAAAGGTTTGTTATGTTTGATGAGAAGTGCTTCAAGAAAAGCAAGAATGTGGTAGTTGTTAGATTTGGTTGAGTGAAGTATTTTACTTGAGTGAAGTATTTTTACGTTGAGTGAAGTATTTTACATTGGTTGAGTGAAGTGTATTCTACTTCATCATTGGTTAGTTCACAAAAAAGCCACGTGAGATAGAGCGTGGGACATCAAAGCATTCAGTTCGAGGGTGATTTACAAAGTGTTTTGAGTATAGGAAAAGTTTCTATAAATCACGCTACTAAATGCGAATATGATTGCTGTCTGCGAATCGCTCAAGCAATTTCATGCCAATAATACCAACATTTCTACGGCAGAACCTGCCAGGAAAAGATAACAAGCGGATGACGAGAATGATTTGTCTAGCCAAGATGGTAGTCAAGAATCAGATACCAATCAACCAGCAGACGCGTAAGCGACAAAAAGTTGTTAACGACAACAACAAAGTCTCCACAAATATGGCCGTTAACAACCAAGATGACCCTCTGCTAGATGAAATTGCTCAGGCTATGAACGATGATGAAAAAACCCAAAAATCTCAAAACAACTGACAAAAATTATAAATTCTCGTTGGTTGACTACGCTGAGAGATGAAAGTCTTCACGAGAAACTTGATTCTCACTTACGTCCAATTAACTGTGACCGACTCATCACCCCAAAAGTCAACCCAGAAATCTGGGGGCGTCTCGACAGAGAAACACGTAAGGAAGACCTAAAACTGTCCTATTTGCAGACTAACCTAACAACGGTTGGTATTATTGTCTCTCATACAACAGATATGTTGTTGACGGCTCGGGCAGAAAACAAGAAAGTAGACATTGAAAGCCTGATTCGCAAGAACATTGATGCCCTTGCTATCATGGGCCATGTCAGTTATGATCTGGCTCAAAGAAGACGCGATGTTATTCGCCCAACACTCAACAGGGAGTATGCCACATTGTGCG